ATGAGATCCTAATAAATGATGAATATTGACCCATGAGATCATTAGGAACTTGGGTGTTTTACAATATGAAACAGTGGGCAAACCAGTCAGGAGTGACTCCTGCATGGACCTAGCAAACCCTACCCACTGTGGCATTTGTCACACATCAGGATCCTCTTGACATAAGTTTTGGAGAGGGAGTGCCATGTCTGAGAGACCCCTTGCTCTTCCAAATTAATGATGTGGAAGATAACCAAGGCTCTGATTTCCCTGAAAAAAAAAAAAAAAAAGAACTCAGTTTGGGATTTTGTCAGCTATGAAAATCCCTCCTTTTTAAACTGTCAGAATTTTCTGATGAAAACCCACCACTTCACCTTTTTTTTGTCAGTAATACACCAGGCTGGGTATGTAGCTTGGTCAGTAGAGTGCCTAGCACATGTAAGGCCCTGGTTGGAAACAGGAAGATCAGAGATTCAAGGTCATTCTTGGCTACATATGTAACAAGTTTGAGGGAACATGAGAAACTAACCCCTCCACACACACGAAAATGTGTCTCCCAGCCTCTCCTCTAAGTTTTGCCCCCTCCATCAGCTCTCACTTGAGATCAGCACTTTTCAGTGTGTCCAAAACAGACCCCAGTAGAGGGTAACAGCCAAGTTCACCGTGCCTGTGAATATGTTTGTGCAAACAGGTGCCTACAAAGTTCAGAAGAGGGCACTGGAAACCAAACACTCTTGCAAGACCCAACAAGTGTTCTTAACCACTGAGCCATCGCTCCAGCCCATAGGTGACATTTTTTAACTCTGCACATCAGGACTCAAATCAGGCAGTGCCTTCAAACTGAATCCGACTTTCACGTGTTGGTGGTGCCCTTGTTCCAGCCTCACACCCTCTGACTCCTTAACACCTCCTGGAGGGGGTCTTGGGCTCACCTCAGAGGGGACGCTTTCATTCCAGCTCTGAGTGACAGGCCTGTAGGCCTCAGATGAAATGGGATGTCCTCGTCCAAATCTTGCTTCCTCCTGAAGCTACACTAGAGCATGCAGTTCCCCAAAGGAGACACAAAGGTCCACCTCCTGTCATGGCTCTGCATGCTACCTTTGCCAACAGAATCTTCATATACACAAAGCTTGTAGTAAGGACGGTCTCCGTTTGCTGCTTTGTGTGGCATTTCCTCACAAGGAAAGGGGAAGGATGTATTGTACAAATGCATCTTAAATCCCTAATACATTCTGGTGTATTATGCTATGATTCAGATCCAAGATGACAAACACCAAAAGATGATAGTGAAACGAAGGCTCTTGTGCAACCAAGGCTGAGCTGAGCAGCCACGTGTAGCTGGATAACCGGCCCTGGCCAGCGTGGTGGGTTATGGTGGCTTTTATTGAAGTCTAAATGGAACAAAGCACTGCATAGGCTGCGATTTTCAGGTGTCACACCACACACAAGAAAGCCCCCCATGTTAAGAATCAGGAGCTGTTTTTCTTTGGAATACACAAGCAGGCAGAACTCTGGCCTTGAACAATGAATAGACTGGAGGGCTGTGACCTTCCATCTGTAAGGCAGCTCGACTTCTCAAGGGCACGGCTGTCCTAGAGGGAGAGCAGAAGAGTGAGGAAAGAAGCCCAGCAGCAGCGTGGGTAGGCGAGCCCTAAGAGACTCAAAGGGAAGAAGCAGCTGTTCGGGGCGGCATAAGTGCTGGGGCATCACCTACTCAAAGGGGTCACAGGAGTGACCCCAAGACTGAGCTGGGAGCTCCTTCACTATAGACCACAACACACCTCAAAGAGGAAGAACTGAGGATGGAAACATGATGATCCTTCCCCTTATTTAAAGATCAAAACCTCAATTTTCTTACTAGAATTCAAAAACCAGAAGCTACAGAAAACCTGTCCCAAGATAAAAAAAAAAAAAAAAGGAGGGGGGGGAGAGTACAGTGATTTCATTTAACCAAAGTACAGTTCACATGGTTCTGAGGAGCAGTTTGCATAACATGACCCATGACTTTAGCAGCTAAGAATCACAATGAGGGGTTGAGAGATGGCTCAGCACATAAGAGTACTTGCTCTATAACTGTGGGAATCAGAGTTCAAATCCCCACTCACAAAAGCAGCTCCCCTGTGAAAGGCAGCAGAGATACAAAGATCGCTGGAACTTGCAGGAAGAGACCCTGCCTCCAAAGACCAGGTGACATGATAGAGGACACCTGATGGACCTCATCTGGCCTCCACACACGTAAGTATACACTCATACACAGACATGCATAAATAAGTCTTTTTAAAAAATCACCATGACCACCAGGCCTGTTCCAAACCAACTTCTTTAATGTGTACAAAAGGCAAAGAGTGAAGTCAAAATGGTTATATTTTTAATTTGGCTTATATCTTGTCATTCATGAAAACTTGCTTTTTGGGAACATGCACAAGTCTGCTCTTGGCAAGGGGAACATCCATGCACACTAATGTTCGATTCTCTAGCCTCAGGACGCCTGGATCATCACAGGCAGGAGACAGGCCTGCATTTCCCCGTCTACCCCGGAAGTGTTTAAACACCAGCTCCCCACCCCTGGTAGCTACGGCTGTTGTTCTGCTCTGTCTTGTTACGAGAAGAGGGTAAGGGTTTGGGTACATTATTTAGAGGTTGATATGTGTAATTCTGCACTGCAGATGAGCAAGTAACCTAGTGTTTCCCTAGTGTTCATCAAAATAATGAACACTGACTAGAATATCACTTATGTTAAATGAATGTGTGAATTTTGCAGCCCGTTATCTTCCCACCATGAAAGCAGGATGAAGGTACAAGAAATTATGTGCGTGGAATTTAGGAATATCCTAAACATGGAAAGACGCTGATACATATTTACGGCAGAGGGAAAATCCTGGCAGTGAGAATGAAGTACAGGATTATGGTGAGCCTCCAGCAACAAGAGACATTCAATGTTTCTGGGGTCACACAAAGTCTAGTAAGACGAAAGCTGACCCGGTCCTAACTGCTCCTCCATCAGACTCTAACACAGCTGCAGAAGAAATGCTTTGTAAGATGTCCAGGCTGGGTATTAATGAGTCAATAAACAAAAGCCCTAGATATTTGCAGAAAAAATATGTTGGCCCAACTGAAACAAACTGAAAACAAACAACTGTAGTTCCTCCATTCCTCCTATCCCTCGATTTACTACATCTGTAACTTCTCTGTCTCCCTCCTACCCTTGGTTCACTACATCCTCCTTCATTTGCATTTTGCTGTTTCCATTCATCACTGGTTTAAAGATTTACAGCCATAACACTGGCCTCACATTTTGCAATAACATCATTTTACATTCAAATTTATTCTTGGACACACAGCCTCCTTCTAAGCTGTTATAAAAATGTTTTTGGAATTATTCTTTCAAAGTTTTATTCAATGCTGCACATGCTTTATTTTGTAATATTAAAAAAAAATAGCAAGATGCCCAGTGGTGGTTCTCTATGAGTTCGAGGCCAGCCTGGTCTGCAGAGCGAGTTCCAGGACAGCCAAGGCTACACAGAGAAACCCTGTCTTAAAGAAAACCAAAAAGATAGCAAGATGAACATGTCTTCAAGGCTGAGTGAAAAGAAAACGATGCCGAACCATACGGATGAAGAGAACCCATGCTTACCTAACTCTGCCTGTGAGCGCTGGGGCAGCAGGCACACAATCCCACACCTGCGCATGTGTAACTACTACATGATTACTAAAAAGCAAACTGAACATGAGTGAAAAAAAAATTCAAAATTTCTACCATCGCTTCCATCTCAGAAAAAAAAAAAAGAGACTGGAAGATTTCAGTGTGCTGGTGCGCAGAATCAGCGTAACCGGCCCTCAGCAGCGGTAGCTGCTTTTTGGCTGCGCAGATCTAAATCTGAGAGCTAAGTGGGCTCTGACGTCCTCCAAAGCAGCTGTGACAAATGTTGATGGGCACTGTTCTGGACTATAGCCCTAAAGGGTTCACTCTAGAAAAACAGGGTATTGGAGGTCACTTCTATGCCCACCACATCAGGGCAAACTTTAGAAAAGCTGTTTGACAACTGGGCCTGATTTCCACCTCTTGCTGTCCAACAAAACTCTGCTTGTCTACCCCACATCCAAATCTAAAGGCGATCAGAGACAGACGTTAGCTTGCGGCGAAAGACCCAAGGTTTGGTTCCAGCTTTTAATGAAAAGGTGCTCGTCCAAGCATTTATTTTTCACTCCTCACTCTGTGAAAAGACTTGTGCAGTTCAACTTCAGCTTCTGCTCAAGTCTGGCCTCACTGCCCGGACCAACGGCTTCTTCACAGATGAAACTGTTCAGCTCTGGTTTTGAGGGACCAGTGTGGTTCGTGCTTGTCCACTGGATGTGTGCCTTGTCCTCACACACTCTGTGATGTACCCCTCAGATCTCAAGTCCTTCAAGAAGTACAGGGCCAGCAAGCACCCTCCCCCGCCCCCAACAATTTCTATCACTGGATGAGTATCTCACTAGCAATAAAGTTATAATGCCACAGCTAAATGCTCAAGCCCAAAACTTACGGGTTATTCCCCCCTCACAAAAGAGCTTCATAAGGGGTATATGGCTACTGCTTCACTAATGAATCTCCAGATGTGAACATCTGAATAGCAGTGTACTCACTAGCTGCTCCCTCTTGAGACTGGACTTGCTAATCCTGACCCAAACCTACAGTTTGTTGCTGAATGATGGGCACAGATTTGTCCTTCCTAGTGACCAAGCATCTAACTGACCTGAGCCACACAATTATTTTCTCACTGGACAAGAGTTGCTCCAAAAGACTTGACATAAGAGAAAAGAAAATTCTGTCAGAGTCATATAATCTCAGGGGAAATAGAATTTCCAAGGAAATTATAAGAAAACTGTATATATATTTCTATAATCTTTAAGATTTTAAAGGTAAGAAATGAAGCTTTTATACCGATTGCCTTTCTATTGGACATGAACCTAAATGACTACACTATTCAAAACTGTGACCACCTGATTTAAAGTGATTGATGCTCACACTTAACTCCTCTCTATGAGGACTGCTTTAAATCCAACAGGAGGGACTCATCATCCTCTACTCTCACCTGGGGTTTAAACGTCACCTTCAAAGGCTCAGGAGTCTGGGGGTCCCCTCCTTCTTGGGGAATGTACCCTACCTTGGCCACTTCCTTTTCTGTTTCACTGATTTCATCGGGGTGGAACTCATGGATGGGCCCCAGCGCCAGGCTACCTGTGATAATGTCCACACCCATCCCTCTGTCTCCCTCCTGGCCTTCCACCTTGGGATCCTTAGGTTTCCTGAGGCTGCGCATCTTAAAAGCTTCCTTTGAGGGGGCAGCATTTGAAATCGACTTCTTAAATCTTTCCCCTGACTGCTTCAGCCTCTCTCCCGACTGCCTCAGCCTCTCTCTCCTCTCAGGCGTGACGATTCTAGTTCTGATTCCGCTCACTTTCTTGTCAAGATTCTGCCGTGTCTTCTGCATGTTTTCTTTGGAAAACGCCTTCTTGATATGATCAATGTGCTCCTTGCCTGACTTTCTAAACCTGGCAGATCTGCTTTCTTCAGCATAGTATTCTTCGTCCGATGAGAGCTCTATTGGGGGATCAAAGACTTCCTCGACCTCCTCCTGGCTCTCAGGCAGGCTCCTGTCTTTAACAACAGACAGGGATGAAGGGCACCGAATATCCTCCTGAAGGAGAAAAAAAGCAAGGTATGTAAGTGTTTCCTGTGTGGCAGGCATCAGCCTTTACTTCTAGCCACACCTTACAACCTGTCTCCATGCTGTTTGTCTCCAGCCTGCATTCCTCAGGGTCTCTTTCTCCTTGGCCTTTCTCTCACAATACTGTATCTTCATTTCTCCACTGCAAACATAACAAATTTCTCCATGTAGATATAGCACAGGCACATTTCAGTTAGAGGCGCAAACCTCAGGCCCATCGTCATCCTGTCCCCTGACATTGCTGTTCCTGTCTCTCACCCCAGATACATCCTCGCCCTCTTGTCCCATAGTCAACTTGGCCTTAAGTTCTAGCAATAACAGTGAAAAACATTGAGTCTGCTTCCCACTCCTCTATTCATGTCTTAATCAGCTCCTCATCACCTCAGGTCTGAATGTGGGCCATCAGTCTCCTCCAATCCCTGCCCTTCCAGACCATTGGCTGAGAATTTCCCGAGAAATGCTTCTATAGCAGTCTGGTTATAGCCCACTGAAGACTTCTGAGAGCCCATCAGTGCTCACAGAGAAAAACTAAACCTTACAGGATGCCTAGAAAACTCTTGACCTGAACCTACTCTCCCCCTTCCCCAGCCCAGAGATGGAGACACACAGTATTAAAGTTCTTCAAACACAAAATATTTTGAACCCTCTAACAAGATAAGTCCACCCTATAGCACCCTGGATGTACATCTCAGGATAGCTATGGATGTGTCCCAACATATTTGCAGATGGCAATGTCATATCTCTGTGTCAAGGTCAGATAACCACATTCTACACCTTTGTGTATGTGGCTGATTCTATCTCTCATGCCCCTTTACCTCATTTTTAGCTTTACAAATGATAGCTTTTTTAAAGAATCAATTCCAATGCCCCAACTCCCCCCAAGTAGAGGTAAGAAGGCCAGGTCAAGAGGGGCTCTGTGGCCAATAATGAAGACAGTAGTTATGATTCTGTCAGGAAGACTTCTCAAGGTTTTGAAGACAACGGTGACATGATTTGACTCATGCTGCGTAAGAGTCACTCTGCTGAGGGCAAGCCTCAAGGGTAAGACAAGCGAGGAGGGATGACAGAACAGTACTGAATTTAAGCTAAGGGAAGGTGGACCAGGCATTTGTGGGCATGGGCAGGGGTGAGAAGTCTTCTAACTGCAGATCTGCTCTCTAGGTCAGAATCCATAGGACCCATTGCTAGAGCAACAGAGGGAGGAATCTGTCAGGCACAGAAGCAAGAAGAGGAACCTGGAGGGGAAGGGAGAGACACTGTCTTTGAAACGCACACTGGGTATGCAGGCAGAGAGGCGGAGCAATGGGGATTCAGGAAGAAGGTGAGGGATGGAAATGTGTACTCAAGAACCATTAATGCAGAGATGGCCTTAAAGGTCATGAGACGCTTGCACTGGAGAGATGGCTCAGTCGGTGAAGAGTTTGTCACACGTGGGAACCTACGTTCAACCCCCAGAACCCACATGATAAAAAGCAAGGCAAGGGGAAGAGCTTGGGCTCAGAAGGTGAAAACGGGCCAAGCAAACCTGATGACTGGAGTTCAAATGGAAAGAGAAAATCAGTTCCCATAAACTGTCCTCTGGATTCCATACACATGCTGTAGTACACTTGTGTCCACACTTGCGCGCACACACACACACACACACACACACACACACACACACACCAAAGTCAAGAAATCAGAAGACAGAGTAGTGTTTCATTCAAAACTCCTCAAAGGCAAAGGGTACCTCAAAATTCAGAATGAAATATACTTTGGAAAACTACCATAGATATTATGTATCATTCCCAGAATGACTTCAGGTCAAACAAAGTCTCCTATCAAGTGAGTCATTTAAAAAGTTTTATTTTGCTTCCATGGTAATCCATGCCTATACCCCCAGCTCTTACGAAGATGAGGCAGGAGGATCACAAGTTCAGTACCAACCTGGATTACACAGTAAAACCCTGTTAAAAGAAGAAAGGGAAGAAGAGAGGGAGGTAAGCAGGGAAGAAAGAGAAAGACAAAGAGGGAAGGAGGAAGAGGAAGAGAAGGAAAGAAAGAAAGAAAGAAAGAAAGAAAGAAAGAAAGAAAGAAAGAAAGAAAGAAAGAAAGAAAGAAAGAAAGAGAGGGAGGGAGGAAAGGAAAGAAAAACATTTAGGTTTTGGTTTTAAAATGTTTTGGGATTCATTGTTACAAAATCATGGGTTTTGAATCTGTACATAAGAAAAGAAAGAAAGAAAGAAATGGAAAATGCCATCTAGTAAAAAAGCCAGGAAGCAGGACCCTAAAGGATAAGGACAAAGCAGCTTAAGAGAGAATCAACTCTATCAAAGGTGTCAGAAGAGAGCCAGTTAGAGACAGGGCAGCTCAGGGCACAGGTAAAAGGAACCCACTGTGCCACTTAAAGATTATTCTAAAACACAACAGGCAAGACCTAAGGAATTATGAGATTTTTAAAAACCGAGCCATAAGTTACAATTTCTAAATGAAACAGTATTGATACTTGAGATCCAAGTTGATTCCACTTAACAAACAGATTCAATAAATATACAAGGAGGACATTTGCACATACTTTAAAACATAACCAGCCTGATAGTCAAGAAGGCGTCCTTAGAATGGAATTCCTTAACTCAAGTGACATTTTTGGATACAGGATCAGCGTGCTCATGAGCCTCCCTCTCCCCAACAGAGGAGGCAGAAGTGGGTGTCTCATGACTCTCTGATGAATCAGTTAGAGGCAGTGAAGTTATTCCTCTCCCTTCCTGACACCTGCTGTGGGGAGCAGCCTCAGCATCTGAGTGGGCTGGGCGTGCCTGAGAAGGTATAATTAGGACAGGAAAGAACCAAAGGGTACTACTTGGTAGGCAAAGATCCCTACAATCTTCAGTGAAGGCATCAGACACAGGGAAATGGGAAGCACACACCCTTCTCTTCAAACACACAGACAGTGCAAAATCAGGCTTACCCACAAATGCCAACAGGGCAAGGGTGGAAAAGGGCCTTGCTGGGGAGTCTATCACAGCCCCTCTGCGTCAGCGCTACTGTAAGGTAAAGGGCGGGGTAAATTAGAGCTGGCTTCTGATTGCAGTCACATTTCTGTATGAAAGTCCAGGTAAAATTAGCTTTCTGTTGTTTTGGGGGCAGGGTCTCACATAGCTCAGGCGTGTCTCAAATTTGCCATGTATCTAAATTCCCAATCCTCCCGCCTCTAGACCTCACAAGTGGTAAAACTATTATAGGTGTGTACCACCACACCTGGTTTAAAGAGAGGTTTTTGTAACAGAACGAATACTATGGGTCAGAGTTAAGTGGGAGTCGGTATAAAACTAACACAGATTGGGATATTTTGGATGCCCAGAAATCTGGGCATTATCATTAGAGGATGTTCAAATCTTACTTGTGGTTACCAAGTCACTGGAATTATGAGAAGATATGCTCATGCCATGCACAATGAGAGGAGTCACCAGGGTGAACAAGTGTTCAAAGAGAGCGTCAGACAATTTCTAAATACCAACATCCTGAATTTGGTAAAAGTTTGGACATATACAACTATAGAAAACAGGATACCAATAAAGATTATCAACAAAAGATATACCCAGGAAAAACTTAGGAAAAAATCTGAAATGGAAATGAAGACATACTTTAGCTCAGCTTAAAAATAAAATTTAGAAGGGACAATCTTCAAATAACTATGAGAATTAATTATAGATAATTTTAACTGCTAAAAATAACCATGTAAATATCATACACATCTATATACATTCTAACATATAACAAGTACATAAATCTGAGTCCTGTGTATACAACATGAGACTTCAAAATTTCCCTGCAGGCTTATAAAAGATAGCAATTGTTTTTTTCTGACAAATTGGTGCATAATTTGAATAACTTAATATCATGTAATCTTCAAGATATACTATCTTAAAAGAGGTTTATCATTAGCTAGTATCTTTCAGTTCCTTTATGGTACGACAAGAACAAAACCCAGAGGGAAACTACTAGTAGGTTACAGGGCATAGAGACAAACAGAGAATTACACGAGCAGATGGGGCCAGTTGGGATTTTTCTGTTTCTTTGCTGTAGCTTCTGTGAATCCTGAGGGAACCCGGGTCCACAGCTTTACATATAGGTCCCCAGACACATTCGACCCCAAGTGCACTTCCTGACATAACACAGGAGAGCAAAGGGTGAGTGCCCAGGCCCTGGAGTGAGTGGATTTTTTTCTCCAGTCCCATGCCCAGCTCACCACTGTCTGCACCAACACTGGAGCTGACACCTCAAGTCCGGTGACATCTTTAAGCCTAGAGAAAGGAATCTGGGAGCCTGGAGGGAAAGGGTGATGGGAAAGGAATTCTAAAGACACAGGTCCACTCTTCTGTCTTTGAAATAAGCACCGCATCTCTCTCCTCCTATTTTTTCCTAAATAACCTGTGTACTCTTAAAAACAGATCCAAAAATATCACTCGCCCATTCCAGTGTAACTTGACCACTGGAGAGAGAACTCCAGGACTGACTAATGCACAAAGACCACACAGGCTACAGCCCCTGAAGTTTCCACCAACTGTGTCCTTTCGTTTTGTTCTTCCAGTGTTCTATGCACACAGCCCTCCACTTTTAAAAGTATATAGCTGTGCAAATGTACTGACGAACATTCCCGCCCATGCCTGATTTTATGTTTAGAACAAAACTCTGACATGAAATTTGGGGCCAGAAGGTTTGGAGATTTTCAAAGTTCATAATACACATGATCAAAAATGCCTTTCAAAATGTTGTGCCAACTAATTCTCCCGATAGCAGAATAGGAAGGGCAGTCTTCTCCAACCTTTACACCCTGAATTTAAATAATGGCCATTATTTAAATGGGTGAAAAAATAATTTTGTTCTCACCTGCTTTGCTTTTATAAACTTTCCTGTTATCATTATTTTTTCTTAATGTGGGGAAAGAGTTCAACTTGTCCATTTTAATTTATAAGAGTTTAAAAAAATATACTATAGACATTATGCATTTGCCATAGGTATATTCCAATTTTTCAAGTATCGAGCAGTTATAAGAATGCAGCAAAAAGAAAAAAAAAACAAAAAAAAAGAGGCTTTTCAAGTAAGGAATTATCCAAGGAATTTCTATATTATTAAAACATAAAACTTAAATTGAAGTTGTGGTTCTTACCTATAATCGTAGCTCTTGGGAGGCTGGGGTAGGAGGACCTCCATAGTTTGAGGACAGCCTGAACTACTACACAGTGAGGATTAGATCAGCATGAACTACAGGCTGGATGGTCTCACAAAACCAGGAAAATTTTTTAAAATAAATAAATGGCCAGATTATTCACTTAGAAGCAGGTAATGCTACTTATTGTGATTAATACAAGAAAATGATGGACAAATTATATTCAGGGTAGTTTTTGTTTTACTGATTGGGTTTCTAGGCTGCCTATGGCAAGAATAAAACCATGACTGCAGGGGTGCTGTTTCCTTGTTTTCTTTTAGAAGGACGTTGTATATCAAGCACTAGCCTCAGCCATGCGGGCGAGTGTTCTACCACTGAACTGCATCCCCTGCTCTTCCCAGCAAAGACAGTTTTTAAACTTGACATTTCTTAGGACCCTTTTGGTTCCAACATTCTAAAGTCTACTGGGTCACTGTGCTTAACAGGATTCAAATGCTGAAAGAACCTGACAGTATTAGGTTTCAAAGGCAAGAAATAGCCCAAGCCACAAGTCACAGTTCGCATTACAAGACCAGTAAGAAGCTCGAGAAATGGATGACAGCGTCGGTTAGCGAGAGATGGCTCTTTCCTGAGGCGACAACTCAGCGAGGTCCACATTACCATACGCCATGGCAGAGAGGTGACAGAGCAAACCCCTGTGGCTTGAGGACAACGGATGAAAGATTATAGTCACCAAGCTGACCCCACGTGCAAGCTTACCTGGAATATTACCACGCGGAATTTGTTTTTCTTCATTATTTCTTCTTGCTTGGTTGCAACCTTCGTTACGTGAACCTGTTGCTTCTCCACCCGGGCCTTCACGTCTTTAATGTGTGCACTGACCTTCCGGGTCTTCTCAAACAGCTTGTTGACAATGTGGCCAGTGTTGCCGTGAGACTGTGAGAGCTTCAGCAGGTCGATCTGGACCGACTTGATAGCGTTTTCCATCTCCCTGTGCCTCTCCTCTATTCTCCTCTGGCTTGCCTGCACACTGTCCACCACACTGGCCACCTTGTCCAGCACGGTCACGATGGTGAGAGCAGCATCTTGGTCTTCATCTTCAGTCACACTCGACAATCGATTCCGGTGGCTTTTACCAGCGTTTGAAGTAGACCCGTTGTGCTCCATTTCACTTCTTTCTCAGCACAAGATGTCCTATAGCAATGGATTAACCCTACACGTGAAGCCAACAGTCAGGCTGGTAGCAGGCGACGAAGCTGCTTTCAAGGCTGAAAGCGGCACCCTGGAGAGTGGTCAAGTATTTATAACTACAAATGCCCATACGTGACTGTCCTGCAACACGAGCCCTTGCAAAGCACCGGGGCGGTTCCAAGCATGCTTGCTGACTGACTAAGGGCCTCAAATAGGACTGTGTGGGTGGCAGGGAAAGCTGTCGGAAGAAGTTCACTAAAGCCTCTGTGCTGCTCATACTAAGCCCACAAGCCAAGGAACTGCAAACACTGAGCAAAGTTTTTCTCTTTGGGTCATTTCAAGCTATAGTGTGTAAGAGGAAGGAGAATTCTTGAACTGCAATCTTCAGTACTAATAGACCAATATCAAAGAATACAATAAATAAACACACAAAACAGACCATTTAGTGAAAACATTATATTATAACATGCTTTACCAAATCAAATAATTAAAATTAATATTTAAGTTTAAACATAGTATTTAAATTCTACATGCATAATTTTGACAGGCTAAACTACACGTTAAACACCTCAATACATTCTACTCACATTTCAGACCTTTAAACACCAACAATTAATAGAGCTACTACAGGACAAATTTGAGTTAGAGGTCTTAGGTCATTTTTAAGCTCACTCTCAGAGCACCAGTGATTAACAATTATTTCTGCATTGTATTCACAAACACTGATACAATTTGTATATTTATATTAAAACAGATATAATGTTTGAAAAATAAATGTGTATTAAAGTCATTTAACTGATACTGTAGGTTTTATTCCAATCTGCTTATTAAACAGTCTTCTTGACAATATCTAAATCTATTCTCAGTGATCTTTTCCCAGGTGCCTTTCCAAATTGTTTATGTCTCCAAAGAGAGAAATCCTCAATTCCAGTCCGAACAGCTTATAAATCTGTTACGTCTAACATACACATAGCTTTGCAGCTCATGCAACAGGGGCAGGTGTCTAAAAAAATCAGGTACTAAATCTCAGAAACATTGAAATATCTATTTAAACACAGTGTCTTCTAGATTTTTTTTTTTGTAAGAAAAGTAATCTGTAAACATCTTTACTTTAGTTCATGCTTTGTTGTTTGCTGTGGTCACTGGGGAGGAAGTACAACATCACAACCCTGTGAAGCAGGTCCATCCGTCTCTGCAAAAATATTACATTCCATGGGTAAAGAACAGGTCTCGGTATTACCATGTGGCACAATTTCGTGAAATCAATTTCTGTATTTAAAAAACATAAAACAGAGACTACCGAACAGTCCAAAACTGTTGTAGCTAAATAGTCTAAATACGAGCCAACAGTACTACACTAAAAATGTCCAAAAATAAGGCCTCTGAAATAAATATTTCCATTCTTTAAAAAAAGACATAATAAATGTACATCACATGGTCAGTGTGCATATAAAAGTCAGCGGCTCAAACCATTCTGGATGAAGTATCTGAAGTAAAATGACCTAGGTTTTGCTTCTGTCGACGTCCTCTGTTGTTCTTGGGGCATTTCCTGTTACATGAAAATGCAGAAAGAAAATAATCATTTTGTTAAGGATATTTAAACCGTGTCAAAGTAAAACACAGTTCTCGCACTGCACCCAGTTAGAAGAGGAGACAGGAGACGGTTCAGGGCAAAATGAGGGCAGCATAGTGGCGGGTTGCTCTTTGCTGACAGCCGGGAGGGAGCTCCCGGTGGACTAGAGGCAGTGCCCACACTGCTGAGACACATTTCTTGAGAGGGACATCTGCCTCTCTGGCCCGCTAACTCCTCAGTTCGGGGACTGCTCACTGTGACGGTGGAGAGGGTGCTGACCTGGGCACTTTTCCTCAGCATTATCCCAGCACCAAAACTACAAGAAAAGCTTAGCTGGAGACCAAGAAGCACGGTGCTGAGAAGCCAGACAGGGTGCAGTCAAGTCCTCTAACTCAGGAAAAAGATTCCGAAGGAACTGGTGTAGAGCCAGCTGCAGAATGCCAGAGCCACACCGGAAACCGGGACCCTGCAGGTGAGAGGTTCCTAGACTCTGCTCTTAGATTACGGTAAATGTGGCCATGGTGTGGAACAGATCTCAGGACGGTGTAACTGCTCCTCTCCCTACCAACCAGACTGCACGCTAAGCTCGTGGAAGGGAATGTGTTAGTCCAGAGTACTGGTGCTGAGATGAATTCTGGTCCTTTGGAGTTTGGAGCCTACGGTCAGGATTAGCCACTATTATTAGCAGTGCCCACCTGTGCAAATTCAAGGTTCCTGAGTGGAAACAGTGTCCTTGGAAGACACTGTATTTGCGCCAATGTTCCACATTTTCATTCCATTTTAAAGAGGACTGCTTTGCCTTAACTTAAAAGCCTTAATGACAACGGTTTCTAATCCTAACGTTTATAATCCTTATAAAAATAGTCTGATGTAGACAGGGCTGGGATCATATCCATTTCATAATGAGGGAGCAGGCTGACAGGCAGAGCACCCGGCTTTAACTGCCACTAACCCACCATGACCGGGAGGAGATCCAAGTTCCGGGGACAGGGTTTTTTCTTCTCTACAGTAAAGAATTTGGCACACACGTGTTCAAAGTCCCTGCCAATCTGTCATTCTAGGAGTCTGAAAACATAAAAGAAAAATATGACTCACAGATAACTGGGGCAGTAGGAACATCCATTTAAAGGAAGACCCTTCACAAGCAACAGCCATCATGAATGAACAGCTGTTCCCTAATGGACTACATGGGAGAGGCGTGCCTTAAAATTTCAATGGTGTGGCCCATAAACAAAATATTCTACATATAAGACAGCAAACCACTCAGGAGCAGGAATGGGGAAAGGCTGGGTTTCTTGTATTACAGGAAATGTGGCCCTAATGTGGAACATATGTCAGGACAGTGCAACTACTCCTCTCCCTACCGCACTGTGCTTTCCTCTATTAATGTCCTAAATCCCCTCTTATCACACAGCTGCCCATTCAGTTCTGCACATCACGTTCAGTATGGTTCAAACACACTAAACCCTAACAAAATCAGGGTTGGTTCCTGCCCCATGCAACAGTCATATTTGACTGACCTAGTCCCAGCACAACTCACATGGGCCTGTCTCTCCATAGTTCAGTAGAAAGAATCAAACAGCAATGAATCCAAACACAGGCACTTCCCTTTGCTAGCTGAATGACCACAGGCAAAGCAGTTAACCTCTGAGCCTGTATTAAATGGCCACAGCCATCCAGGCTGTTAAATGTTTTTTTCTCATTTTCTTTTCCTGTTGTCATTGTTTGTTATGCCGTTATGTCCCTACTTTGATCTACTGCCCAATTTTATGCTCAGTAATCTTGCCTAAAGGCAGCTCATCTGTTCTGTGGAATAAAGCATGCTGACTTTAGTGCCTAAACTTCATGAAAAGTATCAGCTACTCAGAGAACATTTTTCCATCATTTCTAGATTTATCATTTTGGCTACAGGGTGCTAGAACTACTTGAAGGTCTTTTTCCAGGCTCTAGATAGAAGGCCTATGGCCTATACATCCAATTAGCTTGTCACTATCTGTTTGATGTGCTATGACTCTCTGCCAGAAAAACAAAAACAAAAACAAAAACAGAAGAATACAAATATAATGCTTTGGAACATGAGAACCAATCCTTAAAGGAGATAGAAAAAGGTAAGGAAGAAGCAGAGCATTCTGTTTTGTTTTGTTTTGTTTTTAAATTCCATTTGAAAGGCATCCATTTATTGTCAGTAGTTCTGCAAATAGGTCTCTTAACATATGATAAATCCATATATTTATTCAGTGTATGCTGTGTGTGTGTATGTGTGTAGGGCAGAGGACAACTTTGGGGAGTTGGTTCTCTCCTTCCACTATGTGGGTGCCAGGAATCTAACTCAGATCATCAGGCTTGGTGGCACAGGCCTTTACCCACAAACCATCTCACTGGCTCTGTGCTTTATTTTTAACACAGCATTTTAAAGTCTTTCAGTTACCACTAATTGAAAGTAATGCTAAGTCAATGATACAGTCAGAAAAGGTTGTCTTTAAAGATGATGGCTGCTTTCTTTCCTACCACACTTACTATGGGTAACATGTATTCTGAGAGCATAAAACACAGCACAATTCTCTAAGACTTCAAGTGCTGTAACATAGCTCTTCGATGAATCTTCCAGAAACTCTGCTACAACCATTGTCCCTGATTTCAGACTCATAGTATACAGTTCTAAAACCCCTAGCCTCCCTGATTTCATGGACTGTTCTCACACCTCCTCTACCTTTAACTCAGATACGTCTGCTAGCTCTGGGAGGGAGTCCTATACATACTCTAAAGAGGCGGGACAGGGAGAAGTGAGACCCACGTGGAAATTCTGTCTAGTTGAGCCAAACATTAGACCTGGGACTGATGGATTAGGACTGATGGACTGGCTCCTAGCACAGGAATTATGCTTTAAGGCTTCCTCTGATTTACCACTGCCAGTGTCTAGTTCAAAACCGACATTCTCAGTTATTACCCACCTTGTTATGCACATGACAATTGCTACTATAATGGCGATCTGTACAGCTCCAATAATGGCTGCGATAAGAACATGAGTGAGCTTCTGCCTGCTTGGTACCACATAGAGAATACTAAAGTCCGTCTTTTCACAGTGCTGCCCAGTGTAACCAGATTCGCATCTGCAAGGGAAAAAGAGCAATCCAAGTAAGAATTACATCTTTAATATACTACCTTTATTCTCTGAGAATTTCATACATGCATACAATGTATTTTGATCATATTTACCCACGCATACTCTTCTCTCTAGCTTCTAGATCCTCCCAAATTCATGTCCTTTTTCCATTAATAATCCATTGGGTTCAATTTGTGCTGCCCATATACACATGGGCATGAGGCCATCCCCTGGCACATGTTCAACTTCCCAGGAACCGTTAACCTTTAAAGAAAACTGACTCCCCCTCTCCTAGCAGCCGCCAATGTCAGTAGTGCTCAGTCAAGGCTGGTGGCTCATGAGCCCCTCCCCTTTCTATCCTGGGATGCTGACTGGACTGATCTTGTACAGGTCTTATGCAGACAATTACAGCTAGCGTGAGATGACAAGTGCAATGGACCAACCATGTCCAGAAGACACTGCTTCACTCAAGTCTGCAGCAGCCTCTGACTCGAACAATCTTTCTACCCTCTCTTACACAATGCTCCTTGAGCCTTGGGGAAGAGGGTGTGATAAAGATGTCTCAATTATGGCTGAATACACAACAGACACATGAGAATTTTTTTTTTTTTTTTTTAGATGAGGTCTCAGAATGTACCCTAAGCTGGCCTAGAACTATTGATTTTCCTGTTCCCACCTCCCAGGAGCTGAGATTATTAATATGTACTGTCACATCTGAAAGAAATTACAATTTTTATAATAAAATTATATACTATATTATATGACATACTATATAATATACAGCTTATATATTTATATACTATATATTATAGTGTATATTATATACTACGTAGAACATATATACTATGATGTAATTATATTAATATAATAAATAGCATATTGATATATTATATATATATGTTTTACTATTATATATAATTATATTATAAATTTACATGTTAAAAATTAAATTTTTTTATATTTAAACTAAAATACAAAAGATCAAATGTTGCAGAATATTTGATCCCATTGTGAACCCCAAGATTGTGGTTCATAAAAGCCTGTTTCTTCTTTGATGTGGCTCAGCAATAACACACACTTTTAATCCAAGAACTTTCTGTTTATCGTAAACAGGTGGTTATGCTGTGGCTCAGCCCTAGTATACACCTTTAATCCAAGAGTTTTCTGTACAGAGACTTAAATGAAGTTAACCCTAGGTCAAAAAGTGGAGCAAGGAACCAGCTGACAGGGAGTAAACAGAAAGGAGGGGCTTTGAGTTGAGGGTATTTAAGACAGCATGGAGAAGAAGGGGCTTTTGGCTTTTTCCTTCTGAGATGTGAGCTGAGTAAGAAGATCAGCTGGGTGCTTTCTCTGCCTCTCTGAGCTAGCAAGTTTTCACCCCAGCATCTGGCTCTTGAGTCTTTATTGGTAAAATAGAATGGTTAGGATTTTACTGTTTTAAAAGCAACAAAACTTAAACAGGAGTATAAAAATCACTTCACTGCCATTGGGAGAAAATGCTGTGTTTTTCATGTCTGTTTGAGTGCTAATTCCATCATCCATATTAATCACTTCACTTTTGAAGTTAACAAACTTGTCTTTATCACCATCATTTAAACCAGAATCATAATCATGGAAGAACGAACTTATCCCTTCTGCGCTCATCAGTCATCTCCAGGTTTCACACTTAGAAGTAGGATAAATTAAGAAGCCAATAAATGTGCACTTTTCCATTTAGAGCTAGGAAAGCTACCTGGGAATAAGGTTACAGAATAAAAAGGAAGAAACATTTACAGTTCTCTGGACATAACACCAACTACATTCAAGACGCCTTTCAGTGTGAACATGATAAGCACTTAATGTGCAAGGGAGATGGAAACAAGTTTTAAACAAAGCAGGCAAGTGGATGGCTCATCTCAGAAACTACCTAATTCCAATCAAAAGCAAATAGAAAGACATCATCATCTGCTGATGGTGGTGATAAGGAAACACTTAGGATATTTAAGGAGAAAGACTCCTATTTTAAACTGATAAAAGTGGGGTGCATAAATTAGCAAGACTTTGACCGGAAGCCATGAATAAAGCGTATACCATACGGACACGATGGTGTTCTCCGTGATCATCAGTGTGTATTCACAGTCGTCTCGCAATCTCAGTGAAAGGTTTAAAGCAGTGTTATCATAAAGTACAAACAACAACAGAGAAGAACCCTGGACACAGGGCAACAGGGAAAGCCAGGGTAAACTGGGCTTGCACAGTCACTCTCCAGGGCTCTTGGACTCCCTCCCAGGAAGTCTGAACTGGGTTCTTAACCTGTGGCTACCCTCTGTTTGACAGAGGTGTTAGGGTGGGTCAGTAGAGAGCGAACCGTGTCTTCAGAACACGATGCTGAGAAACTGGGGTACAAGTAGAAGAAGAAGCTGAACCTCCTCCTCCTCCTCACAACAACCCTCAAATTAACTGCAAGAGGTTGCTCTCATTAGTTTTTGTCACCTTGACAGAGGGTAGTCTGGGAGGGGGGAAAACTCAATTGAGGAATTACCTCCACTTGACTGGCCTATAGACAAGTTGCATGGCTTTTTCTTTTTTAAACTGTTGATTGGTGTATGAGGGCCTTGCCCACTGTGGGCAGTACCGTTCCTGGGCAGCTGGGCCTGGGATGCATAAGAAAGGTGAGCCTGAAGACAAGCCAGTAAGCAGTGTTCCCCATGGCTTCTGCTTCAGCTCCTGCCTCTGCATCCCTCCTTAGCTCCTGCCTGGACATTCAGAAGCCCTCCCCTCTACAAGCTGCTTTTATCACAGTAATGGAATACAAAGTAACAGTAATGGAACACAAAGTAAGACAATAAGTCCCAGGTCTGGATCTTAAGAGCTAAAGCTACAGAGAAAGTGCTCACAAAAAAAAAAAAAAAAAAAAAAAGAGAGAAACAAGAGACAAGGTTTCACCACCCCAGATTGGGCAATAATTTCTTAGACTTGACACCAAAACAAAACCGTAACTGCAGCAAATAATAATAATAATAATAATAATAATAATAATAATAATAATAATAATAGTAATAATAATGTAAAACTGAGATAAATCAAAATTAAGATCTTCATGGTTAAGGGCATTATCAAGAAAGCAAGGAGACAGCCTATACAAAGGAAAACAACAACTGCAAATTATGTACTTGGCAAGAGATGTGTATTCAGAACACATAAAAACAAGTAAGAGGCTGAGGATTGCTACATAAACCTGATGATCCAGGTTTGATCCCTGGGGAAAAGGCCAAGTGCAGTGGTTCACATCTGTAATCTATCATACAGGGAGATGAGGGTGGAGAGAGGGACAGGGACTGGTAGAAGGGATAGTCCAGAACTGGCTTGGAGAGCAGCAGCAGAAACAAGGTGGAAAGTCAAGAACTGACACTGACACACACACACACGCCTTTTTATAATTAAATAAAATATATTTTAAAGCATACATCCTAAAAAAATCACCCAGTAATTAAGAAATGGTCAGAGAATATACACTCCATTTTCCAGAGAAGATATACAACTGGCCAAAAAGAAGAGTCAAATCTGGTGGCACATACCTGAAATCCCACCACTCAGGAGGCCGAGACAGGGATTTCAAGTTCAAAGACTCCCTGTGAAACATAAGACCCTGTCCCAAACCAAAAAAAAAAAAAAAACAAACAGAAACAAGCACACAGCGGCTACCACCACATACTCCCAGCTCTGCCTGGATCAGAAAGTAAGGGGACTACAAATGCTAGTGAAGATTGTGCAGAAGATGGGAAATAGGGAAAATGCGCTGAAAACAGACTGGCAGTTCTTGAAAACTTAAACAGAGTTAAGCATTTGACCTAGTAATTCCACTCCAAAAGATTTCCCCACATAAAGCAAAGCATGTGTCCACACAAAATCACAAGTGCTCAGGGTTGCAGCACTCAAAACCATCAAATTGTGTTCATCAGCTGACAACTGGATTTAAACATGGGATCCAATTCCCAGAGCAGAGTGCTCCTTGGCTAAGGTCAGCCTGGGCTACATAAGACCTTGCCTCAAGACAGAGTAAGAAATGTCTAGAAAAAGTGACTTACAGAGACAGAAAATAGATTACTGGTTGCCTAGGTTCGGGTCAATAGGAAGATTTGGGAACAATGGGAATTTCAGCATGGGATTTCAAAAATGTGCTAAAATTGATTGTGGTAGTGATATATTAAAACTACTGGATTGTAAAGAAGGGAGAGAAGGAAGGAGAGGAGGAGGGAGAAGAGGAAGGTAGGGAAGGAAGAGAAAGGAGAGGAGGAAAGAGGAGGAGAGGAAAATAGGGGAGGGACAGATGAGAGGGAAAGAGTATGGACACAAAAAGCAATCTCCATAAAATAAAATCAAACAAGTCATTTCAAAGGAGCAGTAACTACTGTTATTAAACTCCGGGGAACTTCCCTTCTCTGGTCCTCATTTAAAGGGGGCACCTTCTAATATAGAGACTATCGTCTCAACAACACAGCAGCAGTAAATCCTATCCTGTAATGAAGACCCATGGGACTTTTAAAATAATGTCCTTCATGGTAGGCTAATGGCTCAAAGTCAAAGCTCAGTAAAATCAAAACAGCTCCACAGAGAGCTATAACAATGCCCTAGATGTGTAGCTCTCAGACAGTTCGGCTTAATTCAAAGATTAAAATCAGAATATCAAAAGGGACTTTTAGAATACATTCCAGTCAAGTCATCCTCCTGGATATTACTTTCCACAACTGACTTTTATACTCTCCAACATATAGAGGATGAGGTTCTAATGCTGTTGCTTCTTTTGTTACTAAGGGCAGATCCAGGGGTTCAGCCCACCAGAAATCTCATTCAGTCCCAGGGCTTCACACCCTGATTCATTCACTCATCTTACTCAGCACATTTACTGTGTGTCTGCCAGGTGTCAGGTACCGCTGCAGGAAACATTCAGGAGACAAGGCACCAGAAGAGCAGAATCCCAGCTGTGGAGATGGCTCAAGGGTAAAGCACTCGCCATGCCATGTGAGCATGGCATGAGTTCAGACATAAAGACCCCTCGGAGACCTTGTGAGGAGACAGGAGGCAGAGGCAGGAGGATCCCCAGAAGCTGCAGGCCAGCTGGCGTGCCTACACAGCAATGAACAATAAGAGACCTTCAAATCTCAAAGGAAATAGAAGGCAAAGATGAAGGAGATCTGAGACTGTCCTCTGGCTTCCATTTATGGGCCACAGCCTGCATGTGCCTGCAAATATTTTTAAAAGATATTTATTTTTAGTAGAAGTCCAAAGGCATAATAAGTAAATGGTTATGTTAAAAGGTGTGAGTGTGTGCGTGTGTGAGTATATGCGTGTGTGTGAGTGTTGTAAGAGAAAGAAGTGTGTGTGTGTGTGTGTGTGTGTGTGTGTGTGTACATGCAATTGCATCTATTCATACATGCATGGATGCATACATATAAGGCTGTGGTTCCTGGGCAGAGGATGACAGTTGATAAAATTTAGTTAAGATATATTCAGAAATAGACTATCTGAGAGAACTTCCCATATCTAAAACTATAGGGAGACCATGAGAAAAAGAGTTGAAAGTAAGGTGTGCCTGTGGTATTCTGTCTGTCAAGTGAAGAGACACAGCTGCATCCCGAGGTGGAAAGAGCTGTAGGTAAAGCCAGGGCTGTGGTGGGCAGGGAAGCAGATCTGTTTTTGTCCAGGTGAAACTTGGCCAGACATCATAGGAAATGTAAAGGAACCAAAGACTAGAGCCTCAAGATTCAAGAGAAAATACTAGAACTTATGTAAATTAGGAGCCATCTACAAAAGACACAAAGACTGGATCCAGTCACTGGGGAAGAGCAGAAGACGGAATCACGGTGAGGTCAGGGAGCAAAGGGGAACCAAGCATGAGTGGAATGTCCAGTGAGACCGGAGAAAAACAAGTTTCTGTCATCTTAGAAGCCAAGAGGATGCACAACACATGGGAAAGGCTACCAGCCGCTCGAATGTGATTTTAACAGTAAGACTTGACCACTGACTTCATAAAGAACAAGCTCTGTGGGATGCTGAAGAAGAGAGAACAGACATGACAACTGGAGACAGAGCAGGCAACTCAAGTTCTTCTGCAAAAGAAAGGAATGCAATGGAAGAGATAAAGTACTGACAATATATTTATAAACGTGTAAAATACATTTAAACCAAGATACGTGATGGAGGAGGGAAGGCTGCTTGGGTACAGTGACAGCCTGTGGAAGACCTTGTATTGCTCCAGTTTTCTCAGTTATCCTGGAAACAAGATCATCAGCTGCCAGTGAGGAAGAGACAGGGAGTGCTGACAGTTCTCTGAGGAGCGGAGTGATTGCAGCCATCTCAGCAGCTACAGTTTTGTCAATGATGAAGCAAGAGAGGAGCAGAGGCGATTCAGGAGATCAGCTACAGGGAATGATGGATGCAGAGGGCCTCGTGGGCAGAAGGATTGCTATACGGACGTTAGAGGGAATGTGCTAGAGATGAAATTATTCTCAGCCTACTTCTCCAACTTGTATCTCCCATGAATTTTCAAGTCAATTATCTTGACCAGCTTAACAGACATCCATAAATGGAGACCCCATAGGCAAACCATCATGTGAAACTGAATACATCATTTCCCAAAACCTCTTTGCTCTAAAATTCTCCTATTCAATTTTGTAATAGCCAGAAGCGTTTCTCCTCTTTCCTCAGCTACCTCTGTTTTGTTTTGTTTTGAAGTCCCAAATTGTCTCATGCACATGTATGGATGACAGCATTCCTCATTATATTTTGGTTAAAAAAAAAATATTTCCTGAAGACAAGATCCCTAGATCCCTGTCATATGTAAGTTTAACATCCTAACACCATAGAATCTGATAAAAAGAATTAACCAACCTATCGATGGTGGGATAACACTAGATTTTAGTCTAATAAAAGGGTTATGGTTGATACTGGCTAATACTATAGACATATAATAGTTTAGCTTGCTTCTTAAAAATGCTGTGAATACACAATACAAAGATATGAGCTGCTTCCTAGGAATTATAAATACATAGGGAAGAAATTCTTTACCATTTCTGAAATCCCTCTGGTCTGGGGAAGATGGGAAAGCTGATAATTATCACATTATTAAGAAACATATTTACTGCGGACCTAGTAAGCTAGGTACAGAAAGATAGTAATAATTAACAAAAAGGAGTCCTTGATATAATGGGTTTATGATCTACTATCAGTTGTTATTTATTAAATAACAGCACAAACAAAATGCTGTGAAATAAACATCTTACAGATGCATCTTGTTGCCACCATTGTGGTTTATTGTTACAGGCTTTTGAGAGAGCATCTCATTACGCAGCCCTGTCTACTTGGGAGCAGCTATGTAGCTTAGATTGGTATAGAACTCATGATCTTCCTGCCTCATCTTCCCAGGAGTGGGATTACAGACAGCATCACCACATAGCTTCATGTAGGAATCTTAAGAGATGGCCCATCTTACGCCACGAGAACCTGAAGTTCTATGAGGATTTCTATACCACTGTGTGAGAAACATAAAGAATTCATTGTGTGCTTTGCATTGCTTGCACTGTGTAGTCTTTTATATAGTTGTTGTTTTGAAATGTTTGAGGAGGGTACAGGGAAGTTATCTCCTTCAAAGACAAGAGAACTGCCAATGGGGGGAAAGACAATGGTTTTACAAAGAGCTGTTTAACCATTAACATTGAAAGCATTTGCTCTGTTTTTCATCTTATGAAGGAGGAAAGGGGAAGCGAGCTGAAAAAGAGGGATGCAAGAGGCCTGGGGCCAATAGCTTCCTTTACACCTAGAAAAGAAAAGAATCTCCACCCTGAGAGTAGACAAAGAAAAGGTAAAATATAACAACTCAGTGTGTTTCGATGTTTTGCCTAAGAGAGGGAAGCAGAATGCCCCACCTTGTTGTCTACAAGCAAACCAGACCTGGTTAAATAGACACACAACAGCCTACAATTTGTGACCGTAACAGCAACACACACACAGAGCAAAAAGCACTGAGATCCTCAGGTTGTGACAGGCAATCTGAGGTCTAGCTTCTTCTCAGGTCAATTTCCAACTTGCTGTTGACCTTGAACAAGTTATGTAAAGTCTCTGAAATACAGGAGTTGAAGGAAGACTTACACTCTTTCCACTTCCCTCTCACAATTCACACCTGGCTCTTCATCCCTACTCCTTTATTTTTAGACATCTATTTTAGTATATGTTGTATTTGAGTTATTTCTTCTCTACTTGTAATATATTCTTCAGTCGTTCAACCACCTTGTGACAGATTGCCGAAAGATCAAAATAGCATTGGAATAAGGCAAATTAATATTAAAATGCCATCCTAAAGATGTTAAGCTCACAGCCTCCAAACGCTAATGCAGCCTGTTTCCCATCTTTCCATATTTCTTGCCAGGATTTGGGAGGATAGATAGATGATTGTTGGCTTATTTTAAATTTATCGATTGCAAATAACACTACTTATTTGGAACTATTTAGTCTATAAAGCAGCAGCCACTAATAGAAAAAAGACCCTCAGCCCTGCTCATGAGCCACCAACTTACCTACAAGAAGCCTTCTGAGTAGAGTAGACAAATTCGCACTTCCCGTGGATGCAGTACCCATTAAGGTTTTCAGGGCAAGGCATGTGGCTTCCAATATAAACATCTTCCCTTTGATCACCTGCATCTTAAAAGAACACAAACCGGGTCACTGGATACTGAAAAGAAAAATGGAAAATACAAACCTTTTCAAAGGCTCAGAAACAAATGAATTCACCGTGTCAATCACCAGCAGGGCAATCTAGAAAAGGAGACTTATCAGAGAGGGTAAGTGAGATCTGAGGTCCCTTGCAAAACCCACTAAGCCATAACCATAGCAAGCAGACAGATGAATTAAACTGAAAGCACACAAAAACAGTTGCGGAACATGACCGCTATGAACTACTGCTATATTAAAAAGCAATCTGAAAAAGAAAAACATCTCCGCTAAATTATACATCGCAGGTTTAGAAGGAAATTCACCCTGAGTCAGAGATGGTGTACATGATAATGTCTTTAGAGAGGTGAAGCTACTCATTTACTAAGAGCCTAGGAGACTGACGATCAATGGTATTGGGAGAAAGCAAGTTAAGGGATTCTGAAACTTTAAGGTAAAAGATTTAGATGTTTCAAATGATAACAGCTATAGCCAGGCATGTTAACACACACTTGTAATCTCAGCCCCAAGTTTAAGGCCAGCCTATGCTACACGTTAATACCCAATCTCAGAAACAAGGTAGGAAAGGAGAGAAGAGAGGACAGCTGGGAAGGCGAGGGGCAGGATACCTTTGCTAGTTTTTTTAAAGTAAATGTTCTTTGTAAAAAAAAAAAAAAAAAAAAAAAACCTTTAAATAAAAATAACAGAATGTGACAAAATGTCTTACAGATTCTGCACATGACAGCAGTGTGAACTTTATCATTCTACTCTCCTTAACCATAGAATTCCTACCTGTGAAATCGGGATAACATAGCCTATACTTCATGTAAATTTGAGAGGATTACATAAGATAAATTACAGTGCCAATAAAATAACCAGCTACTTATATGACACATCAGAGAACACTAAGGGGCTTATCTCCCCCAAAGCACAAAGTGTAATAAAATCTGAAGAATGTTAATAGAAACTGATTAGGAAGGATCAAAAAAGGAGGCTATAGGAGCCCTCATCCCTATGTCCTAGTCTCTTTGGTGTGGGAAGGTACCCTGCAGACTACCTACCAAAAGCGGAACATGGACACCAACTCAGCCACAAAACCTTTAACCTACAATCTGCTCTGCCTGCGAAATATGCTAGGGCAATGGCAGCACAGGACTTATGGGAGTAACCAGTGTGTGATTGTACTTAAGGCCCACTCCACAGGAAGGAACCCATACCCACACCGATTGGGTAACCACGAACCAGAGACTAAATAACCCAGAGACCTACGGTAAAACCAAACAAAACTGGTCAAAAAAATAAAAAAACAGTAAAACGATTCCTAATGATATTCTGCTGTACTCATAGATCAGTGCCTTATCCAGTCATCATCAGAGAGGAAAAGGGAAGCTACACATGTATGGACATGGGAAGATAGGAGGAGGAGTGCCAATTGTTTTTGAAAATACAGATTTGGGGGAAGATTTATACATACTAATTTAATTTATGCAAGAAAGAGAACTGCGTTAGAATCCAGGCATAAATCCTCAATCTTAAACTCATCTTTCCTGCTCTGCAAACTCAGTCACATCGTTTATTCTCCAACAGACACACACGATGAGACAAAGATATATTTTAATTTTATATTTACCATTAACCATGTTCTAATGTAAAAAGAAACATAAATTAATCTTAATCATACAGTTTGATAAATATTAGCGTTTCAATATATCAATATGAAATTTGAGGCACCTTACACTTGTTTCCACGATCTCAATTCAGTCTAGCCCAACTCCAGTCACAGTAGAAACAAGTGGCTAGTGGGTACCGCACTGCATTCAACAGTCTAGAACTGATGGCTAAATTGGTTGATCTTCTATTGACCTTCCACAGGCCAAACTTGATGCTAAGTCTGGGGACACAATCACAAGACCTATCTTGACCTGCAAGGGGTCCTAGGCTCTCTCCTGCAGCTCCCTCATGACAGTTCTGTGTGGTAGAAGCAAGCAGCCACTTTCGGGATGCTACGGACTGAGCACCCCTCCCGACGACGCATGCATCACAGCGTGGAACAGCTGTGTGGACGTTAATCTCCGCTGTGAGATAGAGTTTCTCAGGAACCTAGATGTCCTCAGCGTCTGTCCCTGTGTAATTTCAGTTCTGTGAAGTGATATGTGCACTCTACACATCTGGTCACAACACTCCCTAACTCTATGACCCACAGGCACGGCCTTCCACTTCCTAGTCTGAGAAATGGAGATAGCGCAGTCCGCAGGGTTGATTTGAGGCCTGGTGAGGTAAGCTCTATCGTGTTAATACTAGTGGGTGAGTTTGTAAGAACTTGATTTCTCTTTCAGCGTTACCTGTGAGAGTTCTGCTGGCATGTGTGCGTGTGCATCGCACGTGCGCTCTGGTGAGGGCAGAGGAGAGCACTGGGTCCCCTGCAACTGTAGTTATGTGGATGAGTGAGCCACCATGTGGGCACTGGGACACCCTAGGTCCTTCACAGCAGCAGCAGGTGTGCTTAACCACGGAGCCGACTCTCCAGCCCCTTTTGTAGAACTCTAAAAACAGCCCTAGGCAAACAGTAAGTGCTTAATGAATATTACCAGCTGTTACCGTGTGCTTAAAGAACACTGTGGGAATGACCCACAACTTTCACTTGTTGACACACTGTGGTGTGAACACATCTGGCTGTGTACAACGGGAATGTACTTCAGCGGCAGGTTTGAAGTTCTGGGTTCATTCCCAGCAACAGAAATGAAAAAAAAAATTAATTTACGGATTGAATCATCTTTGATTTCCATTTTAAAAACTATCCTAGCAACAATATAAAAAATTTCCACTTTGAAGCTCCCATTCGGAAAGAAGCTGCCTTTAGCAGTCATGCCCCGGGTCTCCCAACACAGGCTGGAACTTAATTAACAGATTGCTTGTTTACAAACACTTGTGATCAAAGCAGAAGGCATGCCTCAAGCAATCAGCACTGATGAGAAGTAGTTGAACGGAAACCAACTAAGCTAAAGCAAATCTACTTTTCCTGCTTCAGTCTGTAGCTAAGAGTGCGGTTCAGTGTTCCCACGCAAGGGTTAAGTGTGTGAGGAAGGCAGCCACTACCCCACTGCACCAAAAACATGGGACATCATAGTGGGACACCATCAAGTACGTATTCATGAGACCAGAGTGAGATGCTAACCCTGTATAACCCTAGGTGTATAACAATAGGACCGAGTTGCTCTGTAGAGGTTAGGCAGTGTCCCAACTGACCATAAGAGAGCCCTCTACATTGCACCAGTTTTCAGGAATAATGGAGAGATAAAGGCTGTCAGAAAACTCAACTACATGAGAGCAGGAAGAAAAACTAAAGGGAGTTTGAGGAATTAATGGACAAAGGGTGACACTAATAAACACCAATTACATAGATCCATGAGAGAAAGTGGACCTATGCTAAACTCCAAGGGAAGCTGCAGAAAACAAAGCATATCTAATAAGGCTGGCTGGCAGACAAATTCAGTTTTCCACCAGTGCCGAAAGTACCAACACATTCTTCTTCCAAGCTCTTCTGTATACAAGGCCCAGCTACCCAGAGAATGTCAAGGGGAAGTGAGCATGCCCAGGCCTTCAAGAAGCTTACCATCAACTTAAGGAATGAGCAGATGCATGGAAAGACGACCAGCAGCCAGACCAGGATGGCAGCTTATAACTAAAAGAAAATTCACAGCCAAAGCCCTAGAAAAAGGACCTACAAGTTGACTGGGCAGGACTGAAAGTAAGGCCCGGAAGTGTAGAGAGCTTTGGACGGTGGGATACAGAAGTCACAGAGAAGGTGCACAGCAGAGCAGCCTCAAAACTCCAGTCAAGAGCAAGGACTGGCTCAGACTGCAGAATGGTACACATCAAAGCAAGGGAAACCAGGTGAATCCAGATTATGGAAAAAATGGGAATCTCGTGTAAGGCGTGTTCTTTAAATCATGAAGATGAGGAAAACACCCATATCTTAACTGGAAGGCAGAGCAGTGAAAGCTGCCTGGGGCCTCTGTAAAATTCACCTGAGCGTGGCTGCCTGTGGCTGGTAGTGAGGGGGAATCCCCAGTGACTCATAGGCCTGAAGTTTCTCTTAGAACAGTGTTCTCAGCCTATGGGTTGCGAACGCCCCCTGTGGAGGTGAAGCGACCCGTTCACAGGGATCACCTAAGGCCATCGGAAAACAGATATTTACATTATGGTTTATAACAGTAGCAAAATTACAGTTATGAAGCAGCAACAAAAATAATTTTTATGGCTGGGGTCACCACAACATGAGGAACTGTGTTAAAGAGTCACAGCCTTAGGAAGGTTGAGAACCACTGTGTTAGAGGTCAATAAAAGCGAGATGTAATAATTGCATGTATACTCAGCACCTGAGAGGTGAAGGCAGCATGATGGAGCGAGCGGGCAAGGCCAACCTGGTTTACCTAGCCAGACCCTGAGAGCTAGGTAACTGCTCAGAGCTGTTACTTGGCACACACAGGCCTTAGATTCAATCCCCAGCAAACACACATAAGTATTAACAATATTATTCCAACTTGGAATGAAAGCGAAGGCAGAGATGTGCAGGAGGAATAACAGAAGGACATGCCCCCACTTCTTTAGTCACAAGTGCACACACAAGTAAGGAAATTAGTTCATTAATTAATCTGGACGGTGCTCAGACTGGATAAGCCAAGACTCCCCGACCTGAAGGGTCCACCCATTGGGGACACCTGGCCCAATGCAGGACCTTGACCTGAGAGCTAGGGAACACTCCCAGAGAAACTCGTCACAATGCAGTAAATTCTGCTCCTGCTGGCTCTTTTTCATGTAGAATGAAATCTCTAACCCTGTACACATTGCCTTATGTCCGCTCACTCAGTACTGCCTACCGGTGTTGTACTCCTAAGGTCCCACCTCCCATCACTATTTGAATAAGTTTAGTTTACAACTATCTTGAGAGTGGTACCCAGGGAGAGATGGCTCAGCGATTAAGGGCAGGT